TATCCTACCAGTCAGTTCCTGAACAGCTAGATCAGGTTCGGGAGAAACTACAAACTCCTTGGTATCCTCGCAGTATGACCACACATCTCCTGTAATGAAGATGTCACTCCTTTGCGCATCTTATCAATCGTGTCATATTTTGAAGCTCAACAACTCACCTAGACTTCGGGCAACAGCAAGGAATGGAATACTTTCAGTAGGTGTGCTTCGCCTAACTGGGCCAATATGATGTTTCAATGGCCTCGTCCAAACCACACGAGCAACTCCACTTTTCAGCGCTACCTAAACTCAGCGGATAGAGGCGTAATGTCGAAGGTGTTTCCGAAGAAAAGCTCATAAAATCTAAGAAAGTACCGATCCGCCAGCGACTCGAATCCTAGCTTGTTCGTCTTCACTTTCCGGTTTATGGTCGACGGTTAGTCTATGAGGAACCAGATCTTCTGAATTGTCCTTACGATCTGAAAATTGAGTACTAAATAGGACTACACCTAATATGAAAAAAGTGACAAAAGGCAATATCATGAGCTACAACTTACACGCAGAGTCACCGACATGGCCGGTATAGAGCTTGCCGTTTCTAAGTATAGCGATACTCACTGTGGTGCCCGCTGTACTCGGATACCCAGAAGCTGTACGAGGCCATTCCGCTAAAAATATACTCTTAACACAAATAAACGAAAATTTAGTACAGAAAGTTCAAAAATGGCTCACAGTAGCAAACGGCAATAAGTGAAATGTACACAGTCGGTAGTCTCACCCAATACTCAAAATGTGCAGCTCTAGGGTTCTAATGATATTCAAAAATATAAGCGCTTTTGTATCTCTTTAGAGCGCTTTATAGTCGGTCGTCTATCGAAACTGCACAGGATTACATATTGCAAATCACAAGCTCTCTGACCATGGGGTTCACAGTATCAGCTCAGATGTACACAGGAAAGCGCGTGTATACTCAATGTTCAAAAAAGGAGGGCAAAGCTTTGAGAAGTGCAAAAGTCCTGCATCACATATCGAAAAAGATTCCATATTAAAAACCAAGATGAAAATTAAACACGAATAAAATGACTAATTGTAAAAAGATTACAACGATAGTAATAGAAAAACTTACACACTACTTTCCAGATGCCATGGTGCGTAGTTAGAAAGCCTAACCTTATAGCTTCCAATATATCATCATCATCGTCGGAATCGAACAACTCATATTTTCTTAAAATATAAACGTTGACTCACTTAATTTATTTTTTGGAAACACTGCAAAGACCGCAGATAAAAAGATAAACAATGCCGATCATTCCAGCACACTCACCACTATATTGTTGAGCAAATTTCTCCTAACGTATTCACTGGCTTCATGCCCACCGTGTCCATCGAAGATCCCAAAGAATGTGAACCTGATAGAACCATCATCATCTCTGATGGTTTCTATATGAACACGATCTTCCATATACTTGCGACCACCCTTGAAAAAAAAAACCGTCAACTTGAGCTTTCAAGGTGGAACGACAATGAAAAAGATGAGCTTTTCCCAACCTGGTTGGCTGCTACAGTAATGCGAAGATTTTTCGTCGATGAAGGACTACTATGTGGTTGCCGCTAAGCTTTCCCTTCACTTTTTGGATTGGCGTCATTACGAGGGAATAAACCAATCTACGGAATTGACGCTAATGTTGACAGATTCTGAAATGATCAACATTTCAGACAAAAAAACTTTCCGCGCTGAATAAACGATCGAAACGGACGATGAGCCAAAAATTTTGATTTGTGCCTGTAACATCAAAATTCTATTTTTTTTATCTGCAGTCAGTTAAATACTTGATATTTGTCTACGAAGCAAATCTTGACTGAAGGTAAAACTGATAATTCCACAAAACCATGAGAAGCACATACTTTCCAAGGTGGTTCCATACTTCTTATACTACTATACAACATGACGTTCAGCACTGAGACGCGTCATCCTGTAGAAGTTTTATTGACCCTTGATTAACGAAAGCTTTGATTATGCAAGCTTTTTGCTTGTTTAAGAAAAGGGTCTCTAGAGAATGTAGGCGCTAAGGGCAAGGACTTAGAACCATCCGTTGATAGGTATGGGGAAGGACGAGCTGTCCCCTTGATTTCGTACTGGGAGCAATTTTCGTCCTTACATTGGGTGTAGGTCGAGATTAATCAAAGAGAGTGAGTTCATTATTTTACTCTTTTGGCAGGCGGTAGCACGCGATTCAAACGTTGCAGTGATAAACTCCTCTTGATCTGTGGTATATTAGGAAATAGGAGAAATAACCGCAGCATTGGACACATCTTGTGCTACTAATCAAACTTGAAGAATTTAAAGCACGACCGAGGTAGGTCGTTCTTTGTGCTTGCTATAAACGACAGCCCCTTTTTTTCTTCCAGTATGGTCTGGTATTTAGAAGAAGCGTTGAGTAAAGTCAATAAGCATCGGTGCTTATTGTGGATTGGAGTTTTGGGAGCAGGTGGCAACGTTCAACCATATGTGAATATGCGAACTATATTTCCATTGTTGAGGATCAAAAATCATTCTCACATCATATTATTGTGCCAAACAGCTTCAGCAATTAGTACATCGGAAAATCCTAGTCGGCATTAAAAAATGTGGATCCAGAAAAGCTCCAAAAGAGAATGCGGAGCCAGCAAGCGCATGTGCTGGCTAGTTTTACAGATGGGTCAACGTGAAGTGATCACGCTGCAAACAGGGTCAATTTTTCCCATAATTTCCTTAGCTATAAATTTTAAGCTATAATTTTCTGGAAACCATGGATCACTTAGAAGAACAAGAGGTTCTCCGATCGTTAGTGGCTGCAGTGAGGAGTGGAGAGTGGAGTATTTTGGAACAGATACCGAAGTCATTTGAAATCACAACAACCAAGAAGTAAGGCTGGTGTCAGAGTCCGCGATCCGCTTTGCGCGATTTTCGCGAAACCTGCGATGGATCACAGGAGTTGGAAGTGCCCGATGAATACTGCGAGGTGTTGTTTAATCCTGCTGCGAATTCTGCTTGGCAGTAAAGATTGGAAGACGAATGTTTGTGGTTCTACTTGTTTCATGTTCAATGTCTATTAGTTCATTGAAATGCTCTTGAATCGTTCCTATTTTTTTCAGGAATCAAACCAAACCAATCACAAAAATTGCAAGTGCCCCATTTGAACAATTGAAACACTGGATATGAAACAAGTGGAATCATGAGCAGTCTCCATTAAACCATAACCATCAAGCAGAAGTGACGGCGGGATTGGAGAACACCTTGCAGTATGGCGAGGGGAATGCTTAGTGATTCTCGGTGCCGCGGTTCGCGCTAAGGATGCGCTCTGACTCAGCCTATGGGAGTGTTATGGGGTCATATTGTATGGCCATTGCACGACGATTTTTGCTATAGAATGGGGAAGAAGACGAATTTGGGCAGTAACTTTTCTGGCCCCCTCCCTCCCGCTGCTCTCAGGTTGTGCGCGATTCATACTTTCGGATTATTGCACTTTTTCTCGCGGAGTAGATCAGTATGATCATGTGGCCTGCAGGATCAGTGACACATAAGATATGATCATACTTACTAACTCGGAATCTGGAAAACGGTCGAGAAGTTTTCTGGACAGCCGCGCTTACTGGAAAGTCCTGATGCGCATCGGACGGATGCTACATTTGTCAAAGAAAGCCACAATTTTCAACGAATGGTCAACATTCGTCAGCACCGAGCTGCTGCATATGACGCAGCTTCCGGAAGAAAACACGTTGTAACAATCGAAAAAAGTGTTCCTTAACTTTTGCTTTTCAGAGGATCAACCACTCGATATTAGCAAAACGATCCAGGGCTTTGTTTCAGAAGGCTACAAAGAGCGTTGGCAATCTAAGGAGATGCTTTAAATCAATTCACAAAACGGTTACTCTGAATGTTTTGCCACAAACTCACCAAATTAGACTCCTTTCTCCCGATTCACGACTGCCATCATACCACGGCTCACAATGAAGTCTCGGGTCAATTCATAAGTGGGCATGCGTGTTTAGGTGTGCTCTTACTCAAGGCAAAGAGCTCTCTAAAGTCACAATTCGCTGGCGGCTTCACCGCTACACTACTTATTTATTTGTTTTTTTTTTATGCTGAATGTAATATATTTTTGGGTGATGATATAGTTAGAGGAGAAGGCACCGTTGCGCGGTCTGAGCCTGAGAGGAACTTTGAAGGGAAAAATGTAACACTGCATTTTTTTTTTTTACCCGAACTCTTCCCTCTTCTGCCTCCCTTAAGGCTCAGTTAATAAGGAGTAGGGAGGGGGGTGGGCTAGAGGAAGTGTTGGACATAAGGGCTGTACAAATGATGCTTTCCTCGTAGATACTAATGCCAGCTTTTGTACTGGATGATGCGAAGAAGCAACTGTAAGGCTGAGGATGATGATTTTTGAGAACTAGGATTCAGAAGGGGAGGAATTCCGGGTAAAACGAAGAAGGTTCGCGCACGAAGAGTGGCAGCGTGAAGCTTTTCCCGACTTAAGTTGTCTGACGTTGTATAGTAATAGAAAATGTTTGCTGAGGTTTTAAACATGTTAGGCACTCTACACCGCAACGCCCTACCCCTTTGATGGAACAGATCGGTTTATCAGTTTGTTTAATTCAAAACTGGTACTTGAACAAATAGATATCTAGAGAACTTTCAAAGATTTCCAAACTCGGGACATGAAACGAGACATTAGTAATACGGACGTCTCATAAGTGGCATCTCTAACTTATCACAGTTTATAGAAAGCACCAATAAAGTAGCGATAATAAAATTAAAAATAAGGAGCAATACAAAATAATGGTACTGCAAGATGGCGGCTGCGATCATACGGCGCAGCGAAGCGTCGTCGCGATGTCGCGCAGCGCAAGCGGTGCGGTTCACACAGCGCTTGGCGCCGTGGAGCACATTAACTCGAATGGAAGGATTTTCTGGAGTTAATCAATTTGTGCTGCTTTTCTGGAAATCCGCTCCTAGGTAGTCGTGTCCTTATGTGAAGATAATATTTTCGGGCATCATGTCACTTCAAGATCAGCTGAAGCTTGCCAAGGAGAAGCTCAAGCCAACGACTACTGTGTGGGTACTTTTTTCCACAGAAATTAAATTGAATATTTTTTCTCGTCGTTTCATTGCATCGATAGCTAAACATCTGGATCATTGTTGTGGAAATCCCGGAGCTTTCAGTTCAGTTACTGTACATTATACCGAAGATTCCGCTGATTCCGCTGCAACCGCTCCTTGGAAACTCGTCTGTTTTCGCATGTGTCACTTTTGCTTTCGCCGGCGTCGCATTCACATCGGTCCAGTTGGAAGTTGTTCCTTGATCTCATAACGCTCGAATATTTCGTGCAGACCAATGGATTCGGGCGGCAACAGAGTTGGGGGGGGGAACCATCCGCCGCCATAGGGCGCATGCATAGTCGGTCGTCCGACAGCAACGATCGCAACTGTCGCACAGCATTGGATGCGTATCGATCGTCGGACTTGCCTGAGTATTCGACGATCGATACGCATCTAATGCTGTGCGACAGTTACGATCGTTGCTGTCGGACGACCGACTATGCGTGCGCCCATAGCGAGTGGCATGTCTGCGCTCTCGGGATAGTGTAAACACCCATTCAAGCTTTTAATGGATGTCAAATGGTTCCCCTCGAGTGTTTACGTCCCCCTGGTTAACAGATTTCTCGTTTTGCAGAGAAGAGTGCAGACAAGCCCCGTGGCGCGGGGGGATGCGAGACAAGAGTCCCCCTGAGGTCGCCGCGCAAGCGAAAGTAGGTCACCGCACGCGGCGGCTACCTACCATATCAGCTTGAAACGTGGCAAGTTGCTAGGACTAAGCTGAAACAAATGCAGGAAATGGGGACTACACAGGTCGCGGGGACTCTGACCGGTCTCCCGCACGCGAAGGAAAACCCCCACCTCTGTTATGCTATTCAAAAATGTTAGCAGCGTGTGCAGACCATACACCACAAGTGACGACGGCCTCCACAAAATGTAAATGTTTTCTGCCAATGAAATGATTAGCCTGTTGCAGTTCTATCAGTTGTCACTAATTACAACTATCATTTACCAAAAATCAGCTATCACTATGAACCACTACTAACCAGATTTACTTGGAGGCCGTCGTCACTTGTGGTGTATGGTGCCTGACGCACATCTCGTTTTTTGAAGGAGGGTAATTCGTACAGCATTAGCCAATAAGTACGGAAGGAGGGCACCCATCAGTGCAGTGACAGCTAAAATTTGAAACTGCTAGCAAGCTCGTCCATGTACAATCACAGATCCCATTATTTCTTGTTCTACTTCACAGATTTTACATTTGGCTTGTTCTAGGCGAGGTAGCGCAGAGGTTAGAGGCGCCGCCTGCCTTCGCACGATTCGTAGGATGGAATCGCTGTCGCGCTACTCATGCCTTCCGCTTTTCGCAAAAACGAAAACTTGTCAAAAATCATCAGATTTGTGTTAGCGGGCTCATTAAATAATTGTATGCATTGAAATTGCTCCAAGAGATCTCCCGAGTGAACTTTGTAAAACAGGCCCATCGATCAAAATTTCTATTTCCGTGCTCATTAACACTTCAAAAATTGCGCTTCTCTCATTCAATCATTCGGTCTAACTATAGCTCAATTCTAAAGCACTGAACCATGAAAGGCAGTGACCACGATGGCTGAGGCGCGGTGCGGTTTTGATGACGTCATTACGTGTGAATGGTGGATTGGACCCCTCAGTGCGCTGGAGGAGCGGGGATGTGGTGGGGACCGCCTCCTAGCACCCTTCCACAAACGACCTTCAATGACTTCCCAAAAAGCGACTCTCTTCATCCATCATGACCACTGCCTTTAAGGCTTTTGAATGTGTCAAAAAGGATAATTTTGACCAAAATGAATCTTTTTTATAAAACCGA